GGCCTCAATCCCACCCTAAATTTGGGATAAAATCCCAGAATATCCCAAATTTCCCAAAACTCCGGGATTTTCTTCCCAAAACAACAAAGCAAGAGACTTTATTTTTTTTAATTAATCGAATTTTTATTGGCAGGAATTTCCCCTCTCCGCCCTCCCCACACCGAATTCCGGGTGGCGTCAACCTGGAAATAAAATTAAATTATTAAAAAAGGGTTAATTCCACCCAAAAATTCCCCCAAAAAATTCCCAAATTCGACGTTTGGGGCCCCCTCAGACCCTCCCCGAGTGGGGGAGGGGCACAGGAATCCTTCAGGGGGGGTCAGAGCCCAGTGCTGCCATCACGGGGGGCCCCAAACACCAAAATTCCCATTTTTTACCATCAAAAATAAATCCCCTAAAAATCCCTTTTTTCCCCAAAAAAACCCTTGATTTTTCCCCAAAAAAGCCATTAAAAATCCCTTTTTTTTCTAAAAAATCCCAAAAAAATCCCATTTTTCCCCCTAAAAAATCCCATTTTTTCCCCAAAAAATCCCCAAAAAATCCCATTTTTCCCCTAAAAAAATCCCGATTTTTCCCCAAAAAATCCCATTTTTTCCCCAAAAAAATCCCAATTTTTCCCCCAAAAATCCCCTAAAAATCCCACTTTTTCCCCTAAAAATCCATTAAAAATCCCATTTTTTCCCCCAAAAAATCCCCTAAAAATCCCATTTTTCCCCTAAAAAAATCCTGATTTTTCCCCAAAAAATCCCCTAAAAATCCCATTTTTTCCCCTAAAAATCCCATAAAAATCCCATTTTTTCCCCTAAAAAATCCATTAAAAATCCCATTTTTCCCCAAAAAATCCCCTAAAAATCCCATTTTTTCCCCTAAAAATCCCATTTTTACCCCTAAAAAATCCTCTAAAAATCCCATTTTTTCCCCCTAAAAATCCCATTTTTTCCTAAAAAAATCCACAAGAAATCCCATTTTTTCCCCAAAAAATCCCCAAAAAATCCACTAAAAATCCCATTTTTTCCCCTAAAAGTCCCCAAAAAAATCCATTAAAAATCCCATTTTCCCCCTAAAAATCCCATTTTTTTCCCCCAAAAATTCCCATTTTCCCCCCAATGCTCACCAAAGCCCGGGAATTCCCGTTTTTCCCGCGGAAGGCTCAATCCTCCTCCTCATCCTCGCCGCCTCCCGCCCCTCCCTGGCCCTTCTTGGCGTTTTTCCTCTCCCAAAAATCCCATTAAAATCCCAATTTTTCACCCCAAAAATCCCCTAAAAATCCCCTAAAAATCCCATTTTTCCACCCAAAAAATCCCAATTTTTCCCCAAAAATTCCCATTAAAAATCCCATTTTTTCCCCAAAAAATGCTTAAAAAATGCCATTTTTTCCCCAAAAAATCCCTAAAAAATCCCATTTTTCCCCAAAAAAAATCCATTAAAAATCCCACTTTTTCCCCTAAAAAATCCCCTAAAAATCCCATTTTTTTCCCCTAAAAATCCCATTTTTTCCCAAAAAAATCCCCAAAAAATCCACTAAAAATCCCATTTTTCCCCCATAAAAATCCCATTTTTTTCCCCTAAAAATCCCATTTTTTCCCAAAAAAATCCCCAAAAAATCCACTAAAAATCCCATTTTTCCCCCAAAAAATCCCCTAAAAAAATCCCATTTTTTCCCCTAAAAATCCATTAAAAATCTCATTTTTTCCCCTAAAAAAATCCATTAAAAATCCCATTTTTTCCCCTAAAAATCCCCTAAAAATCCCATTTTTTCCCCCAAAAAATCCCCTAAAAATCCCATTTTTTCCCCCAAAAAATCCATTAAAAATCCCATTTTCCCCCAAAAAAAATCCGTTAAAAATCCCATTTTTTTCCCCTAAAAATCCCATTTTTTCCCAAAAAAATCCCAAAAAAATCCACTAAAAATCCCATTTTTCCCCCAAAAAATCCCATTTTTTTCACTAAAAAATCCCCTAAAAATCCCATTTTTTCCCCCAAAAATCCCCTAAAAATCCCATTTTTCCCCCAAAAAATCCCCAAAAAATCCCACTTTTTCCCCCAAAAATTCCCATTTTCTCCCCAATGCTCACCAAAGCCCGGGAATTCCCGTTTTTCCCGCGGAAGGCTCAATCCTCCTCCTCATCCTCGCCGCCTCCCGCCCCTCCCTGGCCCTTCTTGGCGTTTTTCCTCTCCCAAAAATCCCATTAAAATCCCAATTTTTCACCCCAAAAATCCCCTAAAAATCCCCTAAAAATCCCATTTTTCCACCCAAAAAATCCCAATTTTTCCCCAAAAATTCCCATTAAAAATCCCATTTTTTCCCCAAAAAATGCTTAAAAAATGCCATTTTTTCCCCAAAAAATCCCTAAAAAATCCCATTTTTCCCCAAAAAAAATCCATTAAAAATCCCACTTTTTCCCCTAAAAAATCCCCTAAAAATCCCATTTTTTTCCCCTAAAAATCCCATTTTTTCCCAAAAAAATCCCCAAAAAATCCACTAAAAATCCCATTTTTCCCCCAAAAAATCCCCTAAAAAATCCCATTTTTCCCCCAAAAAAATCCATTAAAAATCACTTTTCCCTAAAAAAATCGCCTAAAAATCCCATTTTTCCCCCAAAAAATCCCCTAAAAAATCCATTAAAAATCCCATTTTTTTCTCTAAAAAATCCCCTAAAAATCCCATTTTTTCCCCTAAAAATCCAATTTTTTCCCCTAAAAAATCCCCTGAAAAATCCATTAAAAATCCCATTTTTCCCCAAAAAATCCCCTAAAAATCCCATTTTTTTCCCCCAAAAAACCCATTTTTTCCCCAAAAAATCCCCTAAAAAATCCATTAAAAATCCCATTTTTTTCCCTAAAAATCCCATTTTTTTCCCCTAAAAATCCCATTTTTCCCCCCAAAAAATCTCCTAAAAATCCCATTTTTTCCCCAAAAAATGCCCTAAAAATCCCATTTTTTCCCCTAAAAAGTCTCCTAAAAAATCCATTAAAAATCCCATTTTTTCCCCCAAAAATCCCCTAAAAACCCCATTTTTCCCCCCAAAAATCCCATTTTTTTTCCACAAAACCCCAAATTTTCCCCCCAATCCTCACCAAACCCAGGAATTCCAGTTTTTCCCGCGGAAGGCTCAATCCTCCTCCTCATCCTCGCCGCCTCCCGCCCCTCCCTGGCCCTTCTTGGCGTTTTTCCTCTCCCAAAAATCCCATTAAAATCCCAATTTTTCCTCCCAAAAATCCCCTAAAAATCCATTAAAAATCCCATTTTTTCCCCTAAAAAATCCCCTAAAAATCCCATTAAAAATCCCATTTTTCCCCTAAAAATCCCATTTTTCCCCCAAAAAAATCCATTAAAAATCACTTTTCCCTAAAAAAATCGCCTAAAAATCCCATTTTTCCCCCAAAAAATCCCCTAAAAAATCCCACTTTTTCCCCTAAAAAATCCCCTAAAAATCCCATTTTTCCCCCAAAAAATCCCCTAAAAATCCCATTTTTCCCCCCAAAAATCCCCTAAAAATCCCATTTTTTCCCTCAAAAAATCCCATAAAAATCCCATTTTTCCCCCAAAAAATCTCCTAAAAAATCCCATTATTCCCCAAAAAAATCCCCAAAAAAATCCCAATTATTCCCCCAAAAAATCCCCAAAAAATCCCCTAAAAAAAGCCCCATTTTTCCCATGAAAATTCCCAATTTTGGGATACAGACTCCGTGTTTTTTGGGATTCAGGGTGCGGAAGCAGGTGGTGAACATCCCGTCGTTCATCGTGCGCCTGGACTCACAGAAGCACATCGACTTCTCGCTGCGCTCGCCCTACGGCGGCGGCCGGCCCGGCCGCGTCAAGCGCAAGAACGCCAAGAAGGGCCAGGGAGGGGCGGGAGGCGGCGAGGATGAGGAGGAGGATTGAGCCTTCCGCGGGAAAAACTGGAATTCCTGGGTTTGGTGAGGATTGGGGGGAAAATTTGGGGTTTTGTGGAAAAAAAATGGGATTTTTGGGGGGAAAAATGGGGTTTTTAGGGGATTTTTGGGGGAAAAAATGGGATTTTTAATGGATTTTTTAGGAGACTTTTTAGGGGAAAAAATGGGATTTTTAGGGGATTTTTTAGAGAAAAAAATGGGATTTTTAATGGATTTTTCAGGGGATTTTTTAGGGGAAAAAATTGGATTTTTAGGGGAAAAAATGGGATTTTTAGGGGATTTTTTAGAGAAAAAAATGGGATTTTTAATGGATTTTTTAGGGGATTTTTTGGGGGAAAAATGGGATTTTTAGGGGATTTTTTAGGGGAAAAAGTGGGATTTTTTAGGGGATTTTTTGGGGGAAAAATGGGATTTTTAGGCGATTTTTTTAGGGAAAAGTGATTTTTAATGGATTTTTTTGGGGGAAAAATGGGACTTTTAGGGGAAAAATGGGATTTTTAATGGGATTTTTAGGGGATTTTTTAGGGGAAAAAATGGGATTTTTAATGGATTTTTAGGGGATTTTTGGGAGG